GGGTGGACTGACCATTTGGAAACTTGGGCACTGCCCGAGGGCCCGGGGTCAGTAGTGGGCCCCATGAGATGCCCCTGGTACCTTTTTCATAGGCTTTTTTGAGTTAGGGCAAGGACACAGGGACCCCATGATCCCCTATTGACCGGGGGCCCCATGAGTTGTCAATCCGCCCCTGGTAACAATGCTTCCTTTTGCAGGCTAAGAATGCTAACCCACTGCCTTGCAATCAGCATAAATGCTGTCTGACCGCTGCACAAGCTCCTCCAGTGGCTGTTGGGCTGCCTACTAGCTCTGTGCCTGCCTCCTGCAGTCCTGATAGGCATGTTGGTAGTTTTTTTTGTGGGAGGAAGCCAGAGTAGCCAAACAACATGGTGAGGACATACAAACTCCATGCAGACAGAGCACTAAGGTGCTTTGAATCTAGGACTATAAGGCTTCTTTGCACACTGCTGCCTGAAAACACTCACTTTTAAGGCATATTGTCATTTTTCTTTTTACTGATCTAAATGCAGCCCATTGTTTTCAATGAGACTGTACACACAGGCACACAAACACGCATTGTGTACAGATCAGTAAAAAAAACCCAAAAAAAACACAACCACAACGCAGAAATCCGAGTTGCTGGTCAGTATTGTTGCATGTATACGTGCAAATATGCAAAAATACAGACATATGCCACACTTCCTTCATTAAAATAAAGCTAGCAGAATTTTTATACTACCATGTGCATACTCGCAAATAAACACAAGCGCTCGCAAGTGATTTACAGTGCTCGCTTGCGTTTTTTTCTGCCAGGTATGTCTGATGCTCGTACATCGCACTGATGTAGTGTGCAAGAGGCCTAATGCTAACCACTAAGGCAACCTGGCTGCATGAGGAAAATGTAGAACGGTTCCTCTACATGCCACCCCGCCACCACTCCTATCCACCTTTTGCTGTTCCGGGCTCCTGTGTACTCCTCTGCCCCTCCTCCTCATCCTGCAGCTTCCCTTCTCCCGCTGGCTGCTGTAGAGGATCTGTTAGGATGGAGAGCGAGGAAAGGGCAGCCTCAGCTGCACAGAATGAATGGACAGGAACAGCTCTGTATGAGACTTCCCATTCATTCATAAACTGAAGCATAGTAATCACAGTTTACTATGCATCAGTTATGAACAGAGTCAGTGATTGGTACGTATCACTGGATGTATTTATTAAAACAAGGAAGAGACCGGTAAACTACACATTTACTGGGCCCTTCCTTGTCTTAATGAATACAGTCAGTGGTCCGCACTGCTCACTGTTCATAACGGAGACATAGTAAACTGCGTTTACTATGCATCAGTTTGTGAATGAATGGGAAGCCTCGTACAGAGCTATTCCTGTCCATTTATTCTGTGTAGCTGAGGCTGCAGAGATGGAGATTGAGGGCTGTCTCCTCAATCTTCTTTTTCTGTCTCAAAGGTGAAAAATCCGAGGTCTGTTTAGACCCCTAATATTTCACCAAAGCCTCCCAACAGGGCTCCTAAAAAAAAAAAAATTATAATAAATAAAAAATAAAATTGTAAAAAAAATACAAAATAAATAGATGAAAAAAAATTGGTAAAAAAAATAATATAAATAAAAAATACTGACACCAGTGGCGGAACTATCAAGGTTTCAAAGGTCGCCCTTGCGACCGGGCCCAGACGTTCCACCACCGCGGGCCCAGCGGGGGGTTAGGGGGGCCCCTTTATGGTTTCTTGCACCAGGGGCCCTGACGATTTTATTTTCGCCTCTACGCTAAGGGATTCAAACGTTGGGGCTCCTTCACCCTCGTGAGCCAGTATCACCCATGGCTATGACCTAAGCAGGGGCGGACTGACAACTCATGGGGCCCCCGGGCAATAGGGGATCATGGGGCCCCTATGTCCTTGCCCAAACTCAAAAAAGCCTATGAAAAAGGTACCAGGGGCATCTCATGGGGCCCCCTACTGACCCCGGGCCCTCGGGCAGTGCCCGAGTTTCCAAATGGTCAGTCCGTCCCCGGACCTAAGCCTGACTAACAAAAACAATTTCAGGGATTTAATTTTCAAAGCAGAGGGGGGGGGGGATCTATTGTTTGTGCACATCCAGTACTTGCTTGCTTTTCATCAGCTGGCTGGGAACTTTGCAGAACTTATCAGAACTTTCTGCTTGGGTCATAGCCCGTTCCAAAAGTAATGTTGAAACAGATTTAAAAAAAAACAAAAAAAACTTCCTTTATGTTTTGGAAACATAAAAACAAAGAAATAGCTGAGCCCCAGCTCCAGACTCTGTGTTAAATAAAATGGTGCAGCGCTAAATACTAGAGCACAGTTTATACACACGATTTATATACATGCGTGATATCACTCTAAGGGTGATCAATGAATATAAAAGTTCGATGTAATAGTGCGGATCATGAAAAGATCCTAATTCAAGGTGAGTGGACGTCCTGAACCAAGGTGTGATGATAGGTGTGATCACACAAATAGGTGAAAAACGCACTCACCAGACGTGCGTTTAATACACGCAATATGTAATCCTGCGTCACCAGGCTAAGAAACGATCATCAGATCCCAGATTAGATTGTACCCAGTGGTGGTGGTGATACCTGTAGGTAGCGGTTTCGGGTGACCTTACTTCCGTGGAGCCGGGATGGTGATCTGGGTACAATCTGATCTGGGATCTGATGATCGTTTCTTAGCCTGGTGACGCAGGATTACATATTGCGTGTATTAAACGCACGTCTGGTGAGTGCGTTTTTCACCTATTTGTGTGATCACACCTATCATCACACCTTGGATCAGGACGTCCACTCACCTTGAATTAGGATCTTTTCCTGATCCGCACTATTACATCAAACTTTTATATTCATTGATCACCCTTAGAGTGATATCACGCATGTATATATATTGTGTGTATAAACTGTGCTCTAGTATTTAGCGCTGCACCATTTTATTTAACATATATGTCTGATTGGCGGTTTTATTTGGTTACCTTTTTGGTGTATCAGCTGCTCAGTAACATTCTCTGTGTATACGCATTTATACACTTTTTGTGTATACACATCTATACGTTTTTTGCATTTAAGTCGCGCTCACTATAACATCTTATATTCCAGCTCCAGACTCTGTTTTAGGAAAGCTTCACTCTAGTTTATACCAAACAACAGCTGTAGGGATTTTCATAGAAGAAAAGGTGATTATGACTCCTTGGTGCACAATATGAAAAAGTCCACTTCATATACCTACCATTTACCAACAGCAATATTTGCTTCTTAAAGGGAAGTTACACTTTTTTTTTTAGGGTCCATTTAATTTTTTTTTGTGTACATTTCAAAAATTTCAAAGATTTCTATCATCAATATTTAACAGGTGAATCCATGGCCTTCAGTTTGCAAGGCATGCTGGGCTTTCTATTAAGTAAGTTTAGCACCACCTGCTTAGCTGTTGGAAGCTAGTGAGTAGAGCTGCCCAGGGGCGGACTGACCATTTGGAAACTCAGGCACTGCCCGAGGGCCCGGGGTCAGTAGGGGGCCCCATGAGATGCCTCTGGTACCTTTTTCATAGGCTTTTTTGAGTTTGGGCAAGGACACAGGGGCCCCATGATCCCCTATTGCCCGGGGGCCCCATGAGTTGTTAGTCCACCCCTGGAGCTGACCATACACTATACAAGCTCTGTACAATCTCCTTTAGCTTTACCAAAACTATATAATATAGGGACAAACTTAAAGCGGAGTTCCAGCTGAAAAAAAATAAAATAAAATAAAAGTCAGCAGCTACAAAAACTGTAGCTGCTGACTTTTAAAATACAGACACTTACCTGTCCCTCGGTCCAGCGGTGTCCTCACCATGGCTTGTTTCACCAGTCGCCTTCTCTCCCTGGCATCTTCAGTGTGGGCACCCGGCTGGGACAGCTTGCGGCATCACAGACGGGTGCCCACTGCGCATGCGCGAGACGTGGGCGCTTTGCGAATGGTCCCGTAGTCTTCTGGGACCTGTCACGTGTCCCAGAAGACTACGGGGAGGAAGTGGTGAGGACAATTTCAGCTTCCGATTGCCTAGGTGATAGCAGCGGAAGTGGGAGCGGGTACCTGTCAAATTCAGGCACCCCTCTCCACCTACTCCCCGAAGGTGCTAATTCTTAATGGGGAGAGAGGGACAAAGCATTAAAGCGGAACTTCCTCTTTTAGGTGGAGCTCCGCTTTAAACAACCGTTTTAGTTAGTATCAAACAGGGGCGGACTGACAACTCATGGGGCCCCCGGGCAATAGGGGATCATGGGGCCCTTGTGCCCGGGGGTTAGGGGGGCCCTTTATGGTTTCTTGCACCAGGGGCCCTGAAGATTTTATTTTCGCCTCTACGCTAAGGGATTGAAACGTTGGGGCTCCTTCACCCTCGTGAGCCAGTATCACCCATGGCTATGACCTAAGCAGGGGGCGGACTGACAACTCATGGGGCCCCCGGGCAATAGGGGATCAAGGGGCCCCTGTGTCCTTGCCCAAACTCAAAAAAGCCTATGAAAAAGGTACCAGGGGCATCTCATGGGGCCCCCTACTGACCCCGGACCCTTGGGCAGTGCCTGAGTTTTCAAATTGTCAGTCCGCCCCTGGTATCAAACCAGGCAAGCACTTTTACTACCTAGTGTAGGGTAGATCTAAAGGATATTGCACAATCAGATTGTATAGTGTATGGTGTAATTAGGGGAATGGGGTTTTGTACATATTTTCTTTGTTTATTATGTCCAGGACTAGCAATTAAACAATATCTTTTTTTTTGCAGGTAAAATATTACAATATACTTATAAATATTATAAGATCTCACAAGCAGGGCCCTCCTGGCCCTCTTATATTGAATTGTGTTTTCACTGTATTGTCTCCCTTTATATTGTACTACTGTTGGCGCTATATACATCCTGTATTACAATAATATTCCCAACTGCCCTACAGCAGATATACTGCTACAGGGCGGCACGGGTGCGCAAAATCATGTATATATACACGTGATTTTGCATTTCCGGGTAGGGGGCTGCGCCTGTCAATCACCGGGTCCCGGCCAGTGATTACTCACCGGAGCCCGGTGATTGCCGAGTATCTCCAATGGGAAGGAGAACTGTATGTAAAACTATACAGTTCTCTCCTCCTTGTCAGCTCGTGTACACTGCTCTGGATGGCTGTGCACAGCACAGCCATCCAGAGCAGTGTGATTACAGTGAAGCACACACACAGAGCTTACAGTAAAACAGCACACAGTTAACCCTTTGATCGCCCCTCATGTTAACCCCTTTCTGCCCAGCGGCCTTAGTACAGTGTCAGTGCTTTTTTTTTAGCACTGATCACTGTATTGGTGTCACTGGGGATGTCAGTGACACCAAGTCAGTTCCCCCCCCAGTGTCAGAATGCCCGCCGCAGTCCCGCTATAAGTCGCTGATCACCGCCATTACTAGTAAAAATTTTAAAACAAATCCATGATATATACACCGCCATTTGTAGATGCTATAACTTTCACGTAAACCAATTAAATTTACACATATTGGGAATTTTGTTTTCACAAAGACATGTAACAGAATACATTTTGGCCTAAATTTATGATGAAATTTGATTTTTAAATTTTTTTTTTACTGGACATGTTTAACAGCAAAAAGTAAAAAATATTTTTTTTTTCTCAAAATTGTCGGGCTTTTTTCTTTATCGCGCAAAAAAAAAAAAAACAAAACAAAAAAAAACCGCACAGGCGATTAAATACCACCAAAAGAAGGCTCAATTCGTGGGAAAAAAAGGATGTAAATTTCATTTGGGTTTAGCGTTGTATGATCGCGGAATTGTCAGTTAAAGTAACGCAGCGCTGTAACGCAAAAAATGGAAGGGAGATAATCCTCTGGAGGGCAAGTGGTTATATAATAATAATAATATTATCCAGTCAGCAGGGGGAGCTCTAAGCACCCTTTCACATTATTAGGCTGATTAATTTTCCACTGTGCTAAAGGCAACCCATTGTTCACAGTGCTAGAAACAGCCATCACAGAGGTGACCATGAACAGTGACCAGGAGCGATCCGACCATTCGAGCATTCGGGCACTGCCCGAGGGCCCGGGTCAGTAGGGGGCCCCATGAAATGCCCCTGGTACCTTTTTTATAGGCTTTTTTGGGTGTGCTTTGAGTGTGGGCAAGCACACAGGGGCCCCATGATCCCCTATTGCCCGGGGGCCCCATGAGTTGTCAGTCCGCCCCTGACAGTGACTGTTCATTACAAGGTTTCAGTAAGAAAATGGAGCTTAAATTATAATACAGGGCCTAAATAACACCCAAACAACAACAAAAAAAAAAATTGACCACAAACCTTCAGAATTTTTTTTTTTAAAGGGTTCCCGTTTGCACCAAATGTGGAAGGGGGTTGTGGTCCTCCTCTGAGGGTGATTAGCCTCGTCTCCGCCCTCTCCTATAGTTTTCTACAGGCCATCTTTAGTGGGTGGAGCTTGCCGAGCCCCTCCTACAGCTCTGCTCTCTGCATCGGCTATGAATGGCACAGTGATGATGTCACTGCTACTTTTACAAGATAATAACTGGGTTTACAAAAGTTACTTGGTGCACAAAAAAATGGAAAACTGGAAAACTCAGGAATCATTTTGTACTTGTAGGTGTGTTCTTGTATTTTTCAGGGTGCACTTACCTGCAAAGCAGCACCCTGAGGATTTCACATGGTGGTTTGCTGGCACAGAGTGGTGAGGGGATACATTGGGCAGGTGATGCACTGGAGAGACACGGTGATTGGGTGGTGGAGCCGAACTATACACATTGTATGGTGGTTGGTTCACATTGTACGGTACTTGGTTCACATACATATGGCTGTGATCTCCCTGGAATCCTCTGTTTTCATAATAGGGATAGGAGGGTGGAGGCACATTCTGTATAAAAAAAACAAAAAAACAAGAGAAAACATTTAGATTATTTAGGGAATACAAAGTGAGCCTCAACCAAGCCTTTGTTCCTAATTTTGGTTGGATAGGATAATGCCCTTTGTATTTGTCATTGTAAGTCTCTATGCCATGCAGGCAGATCATGGTTGATAGGAGGGGGCCAGCAGGATGCCGTACATAGCTTTTTGAAAGCATCTCAGCACCCTGCCTTAGTACCCCCCCCCCAGGCCCTCAGCCCTGATGCAAGCTCTGGGAGGAGTTATGAAAATTATCAAAATGCCTGGATGAGTGGATGTCAGTCGAGGGGAGTAAGCATTCCTAGGCAGGCTGCACTAATAACGCCACATATGAATCTCTTTTTATATTTTCAACTATCACCTCTATGCCGACGACATGCAAATCCATCTCTCGACCCCTCGCCTCACCCCCTCAGTCTCCGCCCGAATCACACACCTACTGAACGACATATCAGACTGGATGTCGCTCCACTTCCTTAAACTGAACCTCTCCAAGACCGAGCTCCTAGTCTTCCCCCCAGCCCGGACACCACCCCCCCCACTGACTTCTCCATCACGTCCAACCATGCCACTATCAGGCCCGCCCCGCAGGCCAGAGTACTTGGTGTCATTCTGGACTCCAACTTATCCTTCCAGCCCCAAGTCCAATCTTTAACAAACTCATGCAGACTCCACCTCCGCAACATCGCCAAAATCCGTACGTTCCTAACCCCAGAAACCACTAAACAGCTCATCCACTCCCTCATCATATCACGACTCGACTACTGCCACTCCCTCCTCACTGGCCTGCCTCGCCGCTGGCTATCCCCGCTTCAGTCCATCCTGAATACGGCTGCCAGACTCATTCACCTTTCCAACCGCTCCATCTCCGCCACCCCCCTCTGCCAATCCCTCCACTGGCTTCCGATTGCGCAACGGATCAAATTCAAAATCCTAACACTGATGTACAAAGCTGTCCACCATACTGCCCCGAACTACATCACTGACCTAATATCCAAGTACCACCCAACACGCACACTCCGCTCCTCACAAGACCTCCTTCTCTCTAGTTCCCTGGTCTCCTCCTCCCATGCCTGACTCCAGGACTTCTCCAGGGTGTCACCCATACTCTGGAACTCCCTACCCCAATCCATCAGACTGTCACCTACTCTCCTCTCCTTTAGGCGCACCCTGAAAACCCATCTCTTCAGGGAAGCCTACCCCACCCCCTGCTAATTGCCGACCTCCTCCACTCTTCCTACCACTCCACAGCTATCTCCTCCTGTACCAATATCCCCTCCCTCCTAGATTGTAAGCTCCGAGGAGCAGGGCCCTCGATCCCCTCGTGTATCGCATTGTATTGGTATTGTTCCGTCACATGTATTGTCCCCCATTGTAATGTACAGCGCTGAGCAAACTGTTGGCGCTTTATAAATACTGTATTATAATAATAATAATAATAATATGATGGTATTACGAGCAACTGAAAGCTTTGACTTTTACTTTGTGGTTTGATGCCCATTTAGAATTCTAAACTTTGCAGCTCCCACGGTTATCAGAATACCCAAACAGCGACTGCATCTGATTGGCTGCAGTCACTGATCAGCCAAGAATTGTCTGCCTGACACCAAGTTTTCAGAAGAGAAGAAGCAAAAAAATTTGCTCTGAAGAAGAGAGCATGTCCCTCGAAACGCGTTGGAATATTTTGATACATGTTAGGACCATGTGAGCTCCATCTTCTAGGATGCCATTCTGTTTCCTGGGCTGCTGTACAACGCAGGTTTCACCCTTGGCTCTTGTTAATACACACTCACACGGTATTATTTTTTAACTGTTGACGATAATGCCCTAAGCCCGTGCACCTTTCTGTTTTGTTTGTGTTGTTCAAGATTCCCTGATCTCTGCACTGGCTGAACATTCCTGTCTCAGTATAGAGCTGATGGTCATTGTATAGAGCTGATGGTCACTGTATAGAGCTGATGGTCACCGTATAGAGCTGATGGTCACCATTGACTACAGTCCGATTGGTTTCTCAGCAATCTTAGCGCTACGTTGTAATGGTCGTTTTCCTTGTTGCGTCAGCATGAGAACATAATTAACCACTTAAGCTGCGGAAAGTTTTACCCCCTTCATTATCAGGGCATTTTTTGCTATTTAGCGCTGTGCTACTTTAACTAGTAAATTACACAGTCATGCAACGATGTACTCAAACTAAATTTATATATTTTTTTTCACACAAATAGAGCTTTCTTTTGATGATATTTGATCATTTTTGCAAAAACTTAATTAAATTTTTGAAAAAAATTGTGTTTGTTAAAAAAATCCCAATAAGTGTATATTGATTGGTTTGCATGAAAGTTACAACATCTACAAACTATGGTTTATATACTGGAATTATTTTCTTTATACTAGTGATGGCAGTGATCAGTGACTTATAGTGGGAGTGTGGCAGGCAATCTGACACTAACTGACACTGGGGGGGAACTAACTGCTGCTGACATCACCAGTGACATTATTACAGTGATAATATTATAGACTGACACTGTAATAATGACACTGGCTGGGAAGGGGTTAACATCCAGGACACAGGTGTCAAATACAAGGCCAGCGGGCTGAATCCGGCCCTCCAGGCCATTTCATGTGGCCCTTGAGCCTCTCCTGCAGGTACCCTCTTGTCTCCACCCCCACCTTGTCTCAGCAGTTGGCAGCAGAGAGGAGAATAGAACTCCTCTGCCAAATCCTGCACCTCTCAGTGCAGCTGCAGCACCCCCTCATCTCTGCCTCCCCTGTTCTCAGCATTCAGCAGACTCTGGTAACTGACTCCACTCCTCCTCTGGTCCTCCTCCAGACCCTGTACTTTTGGCTTTCCAGCTCTGCTCCCAAAGGGGGTGCATGGCGATGTTAGGGAGGGTGTGATAATCTTGACATCTGATGTAATGGGGGGTTGGGTGCTCTGGAAATCTAGTCTTACAGATACAACTGGCCCTTTGAGGACAACCATAATGCTGATACCGCCCTGCAAAATATGGAGTTTGACACCCCTGATCTAGGGTGATCAAAGGGATAAAAATGTGTGCCCAACAATGTGTAAAGTGTGCTGCTTTTTACTAACAGATCTCTTTGCTTGAGATTGTTCCCTTTGTACAGAGTTCTGTGTTCATTGTCAACACAGAACTCTGGGCTGTGATTGGACACAGCCGATCAGCAGGTCCTGGCCATGAATCATTGACAGGCTAACACTATGTACAAAAAGTTTTGCCTATAGTTCTCCTTTAAAGGGCCTTATCTCTAAGAACTCAGTTTTGTTGAATGTGTTGATTTGTTTCGTATGAAACTGGCATTCGCTCTTCAGATTACTCATTAATCTTAAAATAAATAGAGGAAAAAAATAATTGCCTTATAAATGCACAGGAATTTCTAACCTGGGTTACTACCAAAGTAGGTAGGTACACAGGCTGCCCTGTAAGTGACCCCCAACTAATGTAACCTCTGTGATGGAAAATCAGTTCTGTGAATA